CCTGCGGGCTCAGTACGGGCCCGGCCCCGCACCTGCGGGCTCAGTACGTGCCCGGCCCCGCACCTGCCCGGCCCCGCACCTGCGGGCTCAGTACCTGCCTAGCCTAGCACCTGACTAGCCCCGCACCTACCCGGCCCCCCAACTGCTTGGCGGCCTGAGTAATTGGGCGGCATTTCCATGCCTTGATGGCGAAGATGGGATTAACCGTTGCGGGGGGTGGAAGAGGGACCAATGACCTTCCAGCAGAGCCTGGGAAAGAAAAGCTTCCTAGGAGATTTATTTTTACAGAGACGAATTGAGGACAATTTCAAATGGAAAAGTAGAATAATGTCACCTTCCAGGGGCCAGTCATTTAGCTTCAGCGGTTAACGTTTTGGCCATCTTATTTCCTCTACTCCCCCTTTCCTTTTTTCCCAGCACATCTATAAAGAGATCCCAAATATAGTGTCATTTTGCTTTGAAAAGGGTACTTTTGAATATATCGCTGTATTTATGGTGTATGTCTCCAGAAAAGCTTTAGAAGTATTTAGCACCATGCCATTATTACTCTTATAATCCCTCATGATCCTCTGCGCACTGGTTTAGATTCAGATTTCCTGTCTCACAGATGCCTTTTGATGGTTGGTAAATCCACATCCAAACCTGGGCCTACACATCCAATTTGGTTATTGTCTCCCTTATTCTTTTAAATGATCCCCTCCCACCTGACACACCACCCTTTAAAATAGGGATTTCTCCAAGAAACCAGGCCTTTGGTGCCTGCAGAACATTCTGCAGTCTGCATTTGGGTAAGGCTTCCTTGTGGTGTAATTTGCTTTTTTTCCTTGTAATCGGGTATTTAGATCTAGGTTAAAACAACAGCAACAACTATTTGTCCAAATCCAGTTAGCAAGTGATTGGTAGACTCAGACTTGAGCCCGAACAGTCCGACTCCAGAATTAGACGTCTTCACCACTCCCTTGCCCTGTCACTGACTCTACGACAGAGGGACCTGTGTTTGTGAAGGCACAAGGAACCTGGCATATGCTGGGGATACAGAGCGGATTGGAAAGGAAAGTTGTGGGAAATGATCCCAGGAGGATCGGTGTCATGGACCAAAGAACAGACCCCGGAGATGTCCAGGTCCTGATCCCTGGAGTCTGGGGATATGTTACCTTATTTGGCAAAATGGACTCAGCAGATGTGACAAAGTTAAGGACCTGAGATGGGGAGATGACCCTGGATTACAGGGTGGGGGTCCAGCGTTATCGCGAGAGTCCTCACAAGAGGGAGGTAAGAGGGTCAGAGAAGGAGCTGTAACAAGCAGAAGTCCGAGTGGCGTGAACACAGGTGGCCCCTTGATCCTGGGAAGGGAAGGGGTGGGTTCTCCCCCAAAGCCCCCAGAAGCAACACAGCTCTACAGCACGGTGCCTTTAGCCCAGTAAAACCTATTTCAGACTTCCGAGCTCTGGAACGGTCAGATAATAAATCTGTGCTGTCTTAAGGCACTAGGTTTGTTGTCATTTGTAAAAAGAGCAGTAGGAAACTAAGGGTGAATTGGGCCAGACTGGGAAGGGATTCTCAGACTCCTTGCTGGTAAGTTTGGTCATTTTGATGAATGTGGGACGGCGGATGTTCTCAGCAAGATCAGATGAGAGGTGATAGAGTAACAGGGGGATCATCTTCCCAGATGTTAGGAAGACACAGCACTTGATAGGATGAGGGGAACCGCTCTGCCCTGCCAGCAGCCCACTGACAAAGAGGCCACCGGCACAAGTAGCCCCACTTGGTCCATACTCAGTCACGGAGCCCAACAGTGTGCTAGGAGCGCCTTACTCCTGGGGACAGCATGATTCTAATATTGCCTGTTGGAGGAGGCACTTTACAATTTGGCAGAAACATTTCTTCATTGTCCCTCCTGGGCTTCCACATCAATCCCGTGAAGAAGGCAGGGTGGATAAAAGCAGTTCAGCTACAAAGCCCTCCTTGAGCGAAGTTCCTACTCCAAACAAGTTACGATTCTGAATGTGCCTATTGTATGAAAAGTATCTGTTCACTGTGTCAGAAGAGACTTCCAACAGTCCATTCCATGTGTAAGAAGTATGACTAAGCGTGTAATTTAAAATACGAGTCTCTCTCTCCGCTAATACGGGCACAAGGTCATGAACTCATTTGGAACAGCACACAGAACAGAGCTCGAGTTAGAGCTCCAGATGCTTACTCTGCACCGCCCTCTTGAAGCTGTGCTAATAATTATGCATGAGGAAGAATCAGATTGGCTATGCCATTTTCAGTGACCACACCCGGGCTGGTCAGTGTTCCTGTACTTCTGTATATAATTCTTCATTTAAAAGTTTAATTCCCACCAAACTTCTAGCACCCTTCCTACTCCATTTTATTCAATTTATGTCTGAAAATTACAGAAGTAAAATAAAAAATACTTGTTAAAAGAAATAAGATGCCTGCTCGTTCCTTTCTCAACAATCCCATACCAGATTTAACCAGTATGGTACATTATCCACATAGACTTTTTTGTATACTTAATATAGATGTGTCACTGTCAGAACTGGGGATTTGTATGTACATCCTTACTTTATAAAATATTCTACAGCTTGCTTTTTTCACTCTCTTCCTGGGACCCCAATAACACGAATGATCATCCCGGGGATCTGACTAAGGCCATCAGTGTTTTGTTGAAAGGATGTTTGAGATGGTCTCCTTCCATCTGTACTGGCCTTTCCTGGTCCCTGTTGGTCCTTCTCTATGTGGTAGCTCCACAGGGCTCAGTCCTCGGACTGCTGCTCCTTGTGGTTCTGCCAATTTTTGCTTCATGGATTTTGCAGCTCTGTTAATTTGGTGCACTTAAGAAGGCTGTCTTCTTGGCGAGTAGACCATTTTGTTATGTAATGTCTCTCCTTGTCTTGGAAATTCTCTTTGCTCTGAAGCTGGCTCTGTCTGATGGGAACATAGCCACAACAGCTCTATTTTCATTAGGGTTTGTATCCCACAGCTTTCTCTATCCTTCTACCTCTAACCCACCTATATCTTTATATTTGAAGTGAATTTCTTGTAGACACCATAGAGTTAGGTAAACTAGTTTTATCTATTTTCCCATCTTTATTTTTTCATTGTTATTTAAGGCCTTTTACACTGATTGTTAATTATTGATGTTTGGCTTTAAGTCTGCCATTTTATTATGTTTTCTGCTAGGTCTCCGTTTTACCTTCTGCTTCCCCTTTACTGTCTTCTTGTACAGGCTCAGGAAGCCGAAGAAAGACTGAAAATTCCTATATCCATTAAATTGAAGCAGTGATTAAAAGTCTTCTAAAGAAAACACTAGGGGCACTGGGTGGCTCAGGCATCAAGCGTCTGCCTTTGGCTCAGGTCATTATCCCAGGGTCCTGGGATCGAGCCCTGCATCCGGCTCCCTGCTCTGCGGGAAGCCTGCTTCTCCCTCTCCCCCTGCTTGTGTTCTCTCTCTCACTGTGTCTCTCTCTGTCAAATAAATAAATAAAATCTTGAAAGAAAGAAAGAAAGAAAGAAAGAAAGAAAGAAAGAAAGAAAGAAAGAAAGAAAGAAAGAAAGAAAGAAAGAAAACACTAGACCCAGACGGCTTTGCAGAAGACTTGTACAAAGAGCAGAAGAGTTTATTAGGCAAGAATAATGTTGATTCAAAAACCGAACATGGACAATATGAGAAAGGAAAGGAATGCCCCTTTCACGCACACAGATAACACGCAAACACCCTAAGTAAAATGCTGGCCAGTTGCATCCCATTGTGTGTGTGTGTGTGTGTGTGTGTGTGTGTGTTTAAGATTTTATTTATTTATTTGACAGAGAGAGACACAGTGAGAGAGGGAACACAAGTGGGGGGGTAGGGGAGGGAGAAACAGACCTCCCATAGAGCAGGGAGCCCGATGTGGGGCTCGATCCCAGGACCCTGGGATCATGACATGAGCCAAAGGCAGATGCTTAATGACTGAGCCACCCAGGCAACCCCCCCATTGTGTTTTTGAAAAAGATGGCATGCCATCCTGCAAATGCAAAGATAGTGTAATATTAGAAAATCTGCTAATATACCACATGAACAGCATAAAGGAGAAAAAAGATGATCCTCTCCAACGTGCAGAAAAAAAACACTTGATAAATTCACCATTCTTTTAGGATACAAACTTCATAAACCTACCACACACTTCGTGATAGGGGTAGGAAGAAGCTTTG